TATTGTTTTAGTTGTTGATGGACCTTTATTGGTTATAATATGTGGTACTGAGTATTGAACCCAGCACCACACATTTGCCAGGCAACTGCTCCACCACAGACTACAACCCCAGCCCCACCTTTAATCTTATTGGAGGGAAAAAGCCATAGAAACCAATGCAGCATTAATTGATAGACCCTATCATACTTAGAAACTTAAACTGAGAATATTTCAAAAGGTTTAAACTTTATGGGTTTGAAGCTGTCATAGTAGTGTTATGAGGAGTGAAAAAGGGAAAGAAAGATCACTGGCTTCCAATAGAATATAAAGTACTTAATGGATTTGATTTAGCACTAATGCTGTGTCCTAGGTCATTCAGATATACTGAGGAAGACACACACAAACACACATACACACCAAGGTTATGCACAAAGTAGAATATTGTGTATGTGTGTTATGGGTCCATTGACACAAAAGTAAGCTAAAAATATTAAGCATAGGCTAAAATCTTCTTGTTCCTATAATCACTACTCATTGATCAACCACCATGAAATGAAGAATACCCTAACAGGGCTCCTGAGCATCTCCCCAAATCATATATTATAGTTACCGAAGCAACAAATGGTCAGTGTCCAAAATACTCATTCAATGTAGAATTTTATAACGTGGTTTCAGAAAGAGAGGCTACCTTCCACTCCACTTCTGAAATGGCACCATCTCTCATGGAGGTCTGTGTCAACAGTCTGGGGTCACATGCTGCAGACATTTCCCATGTATTTAATTATAATTTAAATGGGACAAGACTACACACATTGCTCAGCAACTTGCTGTAGGTATCTGAGAAATTGTTTTTGACACTTTTCCTTATGTTTGACTTTGATACAATTATTATCTTAAATACAAGGAAGTTGATTTTCTTTTTCCTTTCAAGTCTTCCAGGAACACTGATACTTCGGGATGGTAACTGTGATTTTCAAGTACCGTAATTGTGTTAAGTACCCTGACACATCCTGTCATCATTTCCCTCTTTTTAGTACATGGCATTGCTTCTCCTTAAAGTGACTGACTGACACAATGGCTAGTTGGTTTAGTTGGATTTGGAATATCCTCAAATATTTCTACCAACTTTATCCACAATGCATTCTCAGTCTAGCTCTTATTTCTTTTAATCTTGCTTTATTTTATTTTATTTTATTATTTTTTTAGGCAAAAATCTTTATTTCTGACACTGAGTTGAGCTTAACTGTGAAGGAGATTCTTGGGTTTGAGAAGCAAGAGAGTAACGGTAACTACTGTTTGGGACTCAAAAGGAGTCTATCAAAAGTGTAGTTAGGCAGATATTGCATTTGGACAGTATTTATACTTGGATAAATAGGCAAAGCGGCACCGCTTAATTTATTGATAACAAAAAAATGTGCATCCTTTTTATTCTGTTTAGCTCCTTGCCAATTTGTTTTGGGCAGGATTCCTCGCACCAGTGTTAAAGTAACAATATTTTAATCACTACAACCCCATAGGGGCTGATCTGAGATTAGAAACGGTTGGTATTATGAGGGGAAGCTGGGCTCAGTGCTCATGCTGTTTAACATGGGAATCTCTACAGTCTCATCTGTTCAAAAGTGGAATCAGGGGAACATGAGGCTGCAACATTCTTTATGCCACTGGAAATGAGCTTGTTCTGAAGGGCTTAAAGGGTGGTTATAGGGTTCAGAGTCTAGCCAAAGAATTAAGGACTGCTTCCCCCAGATTGAGGCGAGGCACTTTAATCCCTTGCCTTTTGCCTATGGGAACAGGTAGGCCCTACCTGGAAAAACTCCCCTGGTTAGTGAGACAATCACCATTTACCATCAATTTTACATATTTTCTTAAAAGAAAATGCAGGTGAGTAGAAAAGAATTTTGGAACTAAAGGGATAGGTGGGGGCATTGTGACTAATGAAAATGAGAAGGAGGTTAGGAATGAGAACTGTTCCCGTAGACCATGAGATTATTCTCATCCACCTTTTATCCTGGTCAAATGCTCCCAGGTCAGTCCCAAGGCCAGCCTGGCCTTCTCATTTCAAGTCCAGACCTTTGTAGTAAACAGATGTTTGCTCAGGTTTCTGGCTATCCTTTTACATACAGTATATAAAAAGTAAGGGAAATAGGGAATCAGGTTAAGCTGTTTTCTTTCAGTTACTCAGCATGTAGTCACAGGCAGTGGAATTCAGAACCCCTGATGTTAATCTTTGGCATTGCTCTTGAAGTAACTGCACTGATTTGAGTTAGAGGGGGGCGGGTCAGTGAAGGGCTCAGCGTGCTTTGTGGCCTGATGAAAGGGAAATCTCCATAATATGTTGTGCCTTCAAGTATGCTGCTGCCCTGCTGAAGACACCCCAAACCATAGTCAGAGACAGCTTCTCTCTGCACTGAGCTCTCTCAAATAAATAAATAAATAGTACCTTTTCCAACTGAGCATCAACTTCATTCTCACAAACAGCAGAATTTCTCAATCTCATTGTTATCACTGTTATTGACATTTTGCTCTGAGTAGTTGTCTTTTATGGGTCTGTCCTGTCATTGGAGGATGTCTAGCAGCATCCCTGACCTCTGCCTAGCCGGTGGTACCCTTTCTACCCTGTATCCTTATACCTCCCATAGTGACAACCAAAAATGCCTCCAGATACTGCCAGATGTTCTCTGGGGAGTACAACATGCCCTAGTTGTGAACCACTGATTTAAACAAAGGGATTGTCTTATGTGGCTGTGTGAAGAGCAAGGCTGTAATAATAGGGTGGAGTGGGGAGGTGGTGGAAAAGGAGAAAGATGAAGTAAATACACAGATTCCAATATTCTCTTTTGATGAAAAATCGAAAATAAATTCAAAGGGAAAAAGTGATGCACTGCCATATACAATGCTGACTGGTCCTTGGCTTGCAATTTGTAGGTAAGATTTGTTTAACAAATTGCAGCTTGGCAGTCCTCTACCCAATATTCACCAGTAGAGCTGGATATATTTTATTTTGATTGGTCTTTGAGGGTCTGGTTACCTCAGTGGCCAGGAGTAGGAATAATCCACAAAGATGTCAAGCAAAGATGGCTGGAGGAACACTGGGTGATGCTTCTGTCACCATGCTTTTCCTTTATTTATGTTGTTCTACATCTTTTATATGAGATGCTAACCTTCTTTTTACTACTGAGGAGGAAAAGATAGGAGATGGGAGGATGCTAGATCTCCATGGGTGATGGGGAGGGAGGAGGAGGGATGTCATAAGTGAGATTTGTAGGTGAGATAAAATGTATATAAATCATGTATGGCAGGTATCTCAGCTGACACCATAGATGCCATTTGAATGGCTGAACACACTAGTGTTTTTGTACTGACTAAGTGACAATGAGTCCATTATATTGGAAGCAATTCTATGGCAAATCCTTTAGTAAAAATTAGCAATCACGGAATGATATCTCTTTTTGATAAATGCCTCATAATGCAGGTTATGCTTTCCTGGAGCAAATTATGTAGACAATTTAAAATGACAGTGGAATTCAGTTTGTAATCAACAAAGTCCAGCTTTGTTTATTGAAAATATATTCACTCTTTCTTCTTCATGAATGTAATGGTGAAAACTAATTAAAGTTATTATAAATTGTACCCTTAATATATGCTCTCAAGTTCATCAGTCTATAATCTAAACAGCCATATGACATTCATATTAAGAAATGTTAACAATTTTCTAAAATCCAGAGCTTCAAAAACTTATTCATTTATCCCCATAGTGTGTTTTAAAGAGTTTTTCAAGAGCATATACCCCCAAATTTATGATATTAGAAGAACAACTAAAAATGAGACTAAAAACATCACAAGTCAGATTTATTTAATAGTAATGTTGCATTGAGATGTAACATTTGGGCCACCATTTATAGCAAGTCTACAAATTCTCCAAAAGCTTCTATCCTTAAGATTAATAGCATTATTGATCAGTTGCATCACTATTTCATAAACAATTCCTTTCTTTTTCTTCTTAAAAAAAAAAAAACCTTTAAAGAGAACAACTATATCTAATGGAAGGCAAAATTGAGGACACCTGCAGTTCACTGGTATAGGCTTTTGCCTCCAGTTTCCATGGTAACCTGCGATCTGTATTCCAATCACACCTTTGAAAGGCTTGTTTTCTGTCTCCATCATGAAAATTTAGCCAGAAGCACTGAAGGTACCGAACATTAAATTTTAGCTTGTCTTTTTTTTTTTTTTTTAAATTGGAATAGGGAACAAAGAAAGAAGATAACACCCATAGGCTTATCATGTAAATACAATGGGAACATACAGTCACTAATTTTAAGATGACCACCGAGATAAAAAAATACCTGAATGGTAAATGAATAACTAGTCAGCTTCTCTAACAAATTCTTATCTTGAGCAAAAAATTGTATATAAACATTTATTAAATTTGTTAGGGTAAAAAAAAGGAGAATTCGGTTATAAAAGTCCACAATTTTACAAATCAATAGTTTTCAACTGGAGTGATTTTGCTTGCTGAGGGAATTTGGTAATATCTGGAGATATTTTGATGGTCAAAACTAGGGAGTGTGTGGGAATTATCCTGCCCCAAATAGGAGGCTGAGAACCCCTACAACTAGCTTCATACATGATATACCAGCATAAGGGAAATAAATGTTCAAATGAATATAATGCTTTGGAAGCAATCATACTGGTGATTTGCTTCCCTGTTCCTGTGCTCTCCTAATTTCTTATTTCATTTAAATGCCAAATGAAGGTGGTGGGAAAGAAAGAAAGAAAAAAAATCAAACAAAACTTTCTCTTATCATTCTTTGGTTAAAATGTGAACATTTCCAGTCTGCACGCATTGACCTAATTTGGTGCAGCCTCGTATAAACTCTGTGCATTCAGTCAGCATTTCCACTGCAAAACAGCTACCAACATATTGGGCTGACCTGCCATTTGGATTAACTTAAAGTTACAATAATTTTCTTGTTAAGGGAAAACATACTTATCTTTCCCCCATGGAATACAAATTCACTTACCTTTAGTGTGTGTCTATCTAAATGTGGTTACATTTTGTCACCCTGATTCTGGAGGTCAAGCTTGTTCCGAATTAGTGCCCAGGTCAAGAGGGCATCCGACCTGTAGGACAACCCGCAAGTTGATCATTTTCCTTGGCTGAAACGTAGGCGAACATGAAAATAATCCAAATACAGCCAGAGGGCGCCAAATTGCCGCAAATAAAAGTTCCAAAGGTTCAGACGGGTTTTGCGGGAAGGTAAAATTGACTTTTGTCTAGTGAAAGCTACCTTTGCAAACGATGTCACGTTAGGTTATAGTTTGCATTTCCCTCTTGTCAACAGGTAAACACAGTAAACATATCTCTCACCCCTGGAGACTGTTTTGTGTCCTGGTATTAAAAAAAGTGGCCGCCCCCTAGGATACCTGGACACAACGCAGTTGGCCGCAGCTTTGACGGGCGCTTTCTAGCAGCGCTGTGCGGGCTGCCTCGGCCAGCCCTGTCTTCTGAGAACTAACTGATGGCTTCCATTAAAGCACAGAAATAAAAAATCGACGGCCCCTTTGCCGGGCGCTTCTCTTCCCTCCTTCCTCTCCCAAGTCTCAGGAGCATCCTCGGAGGGGCGACTCTGCCTGTCCGGCCAGCTGGACCTTGGCGGTCGCCCTTCCCCAAAACAGCAGCCTCGGGGGCTCAGCCTTGCGGGGAGCCTCCCGAGGAGCAAGTCTCCTTCGCAGAAGAGCAGCCCGGACGTGCCTGCGGTCGGGGCCACTCTAAACCCGCCGACATCTGTTCTGATGGGCTGAGGGGAGCCACCAGGTCTCCCCCAACCTCACTGCCTGCCGGTATAGCGGAATCTCAGCGAGAAGCCTGAAGCCGGCGGGATTGGGGTGTTGCGAAGGGTAGCTTTTGGCGAGGGCGTCAGTCTCGCCCCTTAAGTCTGAGCGAGAGCCCAGCACTTCTTATTCGACCATTCCAAATAAATGAGGGGGGTAGGGAGGAAGGGAAGGAGGGAGGAGGAGAGGGGGGGAGCGAGCCCCCACAAACAGCCCCTGCGCGGAGGGGGAAGGGAGGGCAAGGGAATGGAGGGGAGCAGAGGGAGGGGGTTTATGAAAAATATGGTTAGAGGGCAATTGAGGGGAGGCATGAAGGGCACAGAGTTGGAGGGGAGGGGAGGAACCGGCATGAAGGGGAGCGGAGGCTGGGGGTGACTGCAGGTGGGGAGGGAGGTGGCGGTTCTCGAATAATCAGGAATTGAGGGGAGGCGGGCGGGGCACCGGGTTGTAGGGGAGGGAAGGGGAGCGCTGGGAGCGAAGGGAGGGACTGCAGGAAGGGAGGGAGGTGGGGGTGCTTGGATCGCGGGGAGTTGAGGGGAGGAGGGCTGACAGGGGCTGGAGGGGAGGAGAGGGGAGGGAGGGACTGCGGGAGGAGAGGGGGTGGGGGCACGGAGGTGGCGCGGAGTAGAGGGGAGGCGGGCGGGGCGCCGGGTTGGAGGGGCGGGGAGGGGAGAGAGGCGGGCGGGGTCCGCGAGCTGAGGGAGGCAGGGCGGGCGGACGCGGCGGGGGAGGGCGCTGGGCAGGAAGGGGAGGGGGAGCGCGAGCGCGAGAAATGCAGAGGCTGCAGCGGCGGCGGCGGCGGCAGTAGCGGCAGCGGCGACGGCGGCGGCGGCAGTGCTCCAACTCGCTCCTCGCTCCGGGCTCCGCCGTCGAGCCGGGAGAGAGCCTCCGCCAGCGGCCAGGCATCCGAGCGACCCGGGCCCTTTGGTGGCACCGCGCTCACCCAGGGGCGGCACAGGCACCCAGAGCAGGTAAGGAGGCACATCTGGTGGCCCCGCCGCCACAGTGGACTCGGGGGCCTCTGTCTCCCCACCGCGCCCCGCCCCACCCACGAAGCCCCTGGGTTCTTCCCCCTACAGCGGGCAGCCGGGATGCGGGTGGATTAGACAGCAGTAGGCGTGAAGTCCCTCCGTGAAGGTTCGGTCACACTTTGGGGATCTAGGGTGGTGGGGGGCCCTAAGGTGGGAGGCTTCGGCCACTCGCGGGGTGGAGAGGACGAGGGGAGTGGCGAGGCTGATAAACGGAGTTTGGGAGGGAGGGGGCTAGCAGAAGGAAGCTGCTGGAGAAGGAGGAAATGCTGAATGCGAAACCCTTGAAGCGCTTGAGTCCCAAAGATTCTGTTGTGGGTTGAACCGAGCGTTTCTGTCATCGGAACCATTCCCAGCCGGCAGGACCGAAAGGGCAGGGCGTGAGGGGCGCAGCAGAGAAAGATGGAGGGTGGGGGTGGGGTGGGGCGGGAGTAAGGGGAGAAGGAAGAGGAGGAATTTGCTCTGATCGGAAGGAAGAGGGTGGGTTTTTGGTTTGGCAAATGGGTTTCCTTGACCCGTGGGACTCCTGAATCTTGGTTTGGGGTAACCAAGGAACACGAGGTTCACGCGACAGCGTGCATCCAGAAGCACATCCAGAGCCGATCAAAGCCCCAGTCTCGTACGTGGCTGAATTGCCTTCCCATCAACCTGTGGGTTACCTCGGAGCTTTTTATTTTTTGAGCCATTGGCCCAGAGAATGAGCCGCACGCCTCCACCGCCGCCCGGGCCTGCGGTGTGCGAGCTGCAGCCTGACAGCGCGCGGCCCTAATGGGGCTCAGCTTCACTGTGCGCTAAGGTTTGGGGTTTAGCAGTTTTTGCGTAAGGCGCAATCGCCGAAGTCTGACGTCCAGTTCCCGCTCCCCATCGCCAGAAAAATAAAAATTGCGGAACCCCTGGATCCGTTTGCACACACAATGCGTGGCTACAAACCGCATTCTTTTCATGAATATTCATCGAACGCTTGGCTGGGCTCCTTATCTGCTTCCCCAGAGACATTTCCGCCTTGAAACGAACTCGGTGGACAGCCTTTGCCCGAGTAATTTTCACTCTGTTGAAATTAGCTTGGCGTACATGGGTGCATTTTTAGTGCCTTGTGCAGGGTTGACACACCTCTGTCTTCCCCACGACCTCTAGCACTTGCTTGGCGGGTTAAAACCAAACACTAGCACTGAGGTGGTCTTCTGCTATAGGGGTGTGGATCAGCCCCCTCCCGCCCCCACCCACCCCTCTGGGAATACAGCCGGGGCTAACAGATCTCGGGTACTGCGGGCAAAATGAATGAATCGGGACTGTAATTACCTATTCCTTTGTCTTGGCCTCGCGCATGCGCTGGAGAGCAGGGTGTGGAGGGCCTGGCAGCCCCATCTGATCTCCCCATCATCCACCCACCCACTCCCCTCCGAAGCCTAGGAACAAAGGCTTTTGCCCTAAATATTTCTTAAAGCCCTGGGACACAAATGACAGCCCCCCCCCCCCGTGTGTATGTTTCCTCTTTCCCAGGCTATCACTCATCATTTGCTGTCTTATTGATTTCAACTGACCAAAAACAAGATTAGCCTTTATGGCGAGGGCAAATTGTGGATTAAATATATTTTAAACGTGCACTGCTATTTTACTTTCCAGAACTGTCCATTGTTCTTTTTCCTGTAACACATCCCTCTACCGGGATGGGTGGCTTTCTTAATTTGCATCAATTAACCATTCCTCTTGACAGAGCTTTGTTGCCGGTCATTTGACTAAAGGACATTGGTCTCAAACCAGCAGTGGGTGTTGCCCCTAGTAACACCACCTGGGAAAAATTAAGACATCTTGGCATTTATACGAACAAGATGGCCTACAAAAACCGGAGCGAGAAAATGGTTACCTTGTCAGGATCCTAACCCTTCTGGTTTCTCTTGATTCCCACGCTACTGTTTCATTAAGAGTTCCAAAATGCAAACCCCATGGAGATGGCTACTAGGACCGCCAGGGTGAATATGGTGAAGTTCTAAGTTCATGATGCTTCTTTTAAAAAAATTTATTTCTACAAAATCTAACCAGAAGCCGTGGTATATACATTGATGGCTGATTTTCTTTCAAATGATGTATTTTCCAGGTTATAACCCTTCAGAATTCTTTTTGGGTTTGTTTTTACCTTCCTAAAGGTGACTTACTATATATATCAAATAGGAGTTAAGCACTACATTTTCTGCAATGTAGTAGGTTATGTGTAAAAAAAAAAAAATTCATGCTGAAGCATTCTCAGTATATACTGGTGCAGTAACACGTGGCGTGAGAGGGAAGTCATCTCTTTTGTTCCTTTTAATAAAAACTTGATATTAGCCATGTTTAATATTACCAGAGCCTGTAATTGCTATGGTGGCAGCCTGGCTGTATTCTAGGTAGCATGGATCATTCCTTCTGTGCTGCTTAGTATTGAATGGGTTATTGTGGCTTAGAGGGCTATAGATGCTTTTTCTTTCTTTCTTCTTCTTATTTTTTTTTTTCCTTTTCTATTAGGTAGAATTTAGCAGGGTGGGAATACAGACTAATTTTGTGTTGAAATACAGACTAAATATACAAGCTGACATATGCCAGTATACCCTGAATTCAGGGAGTTTTGAGTTTTTAAACAAGATAATTTAAAAATCAAATATTAGCAATTATCAGTTATTTTATTTCTACAATTTTATTTATTTATTTTTACCAAGCTTTAGCAGGTAGAGGAAGGGAACTAGTTGAGTCTTTTGATAAAATGCACCAACAGTGACTGCAACAGTGGCCTTATATCTCTAACTGGTACTTAGGCCACCATTGTGGTATAGAGAAGGGATCCTTTTTTTCCCCTCCCCACCCACATCACCCTAATTTAAATGTTCAGAGCCCTAGGCATTTAGGTTCCCTATCCTTGGAGGCCTCTTAATAATTCTCGGGAATTACCTGAAAAAACCACATGATGGTTTAAGATCTCTTTAGGTTTTTTTCTCCCCCAATTTCACACCAGAACAATTTCACGTCATTTTCTTTCCATGGTTAAAATAACTGGAATATGATACCAGAGAAGAACTTGCCTTTGCAGGAGATTTGATCACTGTAAAATGGATGCCTGTGTTGTTTGTGATAGTTTTGTAAAAATATTGCAACATCTAGAACCATTTTAAAAGCTATTAAAGCACCATGTATATACACACATGTGTATGCATAGTGTGTATGTACATACAGGCATGGATATCTATTTATATTTATGTACAGATTGTAAAAATCTTATTAATGATATGTGCTAAACTAGTTGGTATAGAACATTATTTTCTAGTGGTTTTACATTGGTCTTTGGAAAATAATCAGTTTCTGTCTTTCTAAGTATATGCTTAGAAAAGGCTCACTAGTCTACTAATATGCTCATCTTCAATTTCTCCCAATGTATTCCTAAAATAAATGGCTGCCTGGAGCATCTGAAGCTAAGATGTTCATTTAGAGGCTTCAAAACTCATTAAACACTAATGAACTTTTGAAGCTGGAGTACACAATGCTTACTAAATAAAGGACTTATACTTTTTTTTTCTGTTTAATTTTTGTGATCTCTTGTAAAATTTCATTTTTCAAAATATGTCCCCAAAAGACCTGTTAAAAAGTAAAACAAGTACCTCTGGTATTTGATTCTGTTGAAAGAGACATTTTGATTCGTTCAGGCCTTTCTCACTCAACTCATCTTGACCTATTCCTTTCACACCTTCTTGGTCTTCCTGATGATTGTGTGAACTGAAATCCAGGTAGCTATTGAGGGCAAACCATATGTGGATGCATTGGATGGTCCCTGGGACAGATGCAGAATCCTTATCATCTTTTCAAGTTTTCTCAAGTCAGTCCTTTTCATTTTTTTTCTGTCTCTTAAGTCTTTAGATAATGTGATGAATGTGAACTTTACGGCTTGAAATTACCATGAAGTTGCAAATAGAAGTTTTTGAAGGATAAAATACTGTCTGGGCATCTGAAAGGTTCTCAGATACCCTAACTTCTGTCCTCTAGTGGAGACATATTTGAAATTCTGTAAGGTGTTGTATGGAGATTTGCCCAGGAGTAGATTGTGTGGTGTCAGGATGGCCACCCTCCTTGA